TTCGAAAGTCGTCTGAAAGAACACCCCTGCAATTCCAAATAACAAAATTCATATGACTATCCGTGTAATCAAATTGTAAACTGCGCCTTGGACCTCTTTAAGTATTTATCTGGCTTGTTTGGAGGAGGAATGCGGGCATTAGAAGCATTGCATATTTCCCGACTTCTGGATTGGTCGTTGGTCTTAGACGAAAGGAGGTTGTTCGAAGATTTTGAGGACACCTGACATAAATCTTTCTTTCGTATTCCTCCTTCTGCACAAAGATTTTTATCCCGTCTAGAAAAGTATGCACCGGGCGAGTTTCTCTGTTGTAGACGATGGCTGCTTCTAGTTTCTCTTGAAGATTGTCGTTTTGTTCTTCCGGAGGTGGACTGTGTGGGGGTGAGGGATTGGGAGAAGGTACTGGGGTTGGAGGTGGGGGGGGTGCCAGTACGGTTGAATCCATGGAGTTGTGGTATTGGGAGATGGGTAGAAAGGCATATGGAGAATGTCAGGGTGAAGATATTGGGGATCCCACGAGGGAGTTGGAAGTGGTGGTTGTTGATAAGGGCTCATGTGGGGAGCTTGAGTCATTGCCCAGTGGTACCTGCCGTATATCTCCATGCCCAGTTGCATCCCCTCCAGCACTATCTGCGTCAAATTCCGTGGATGATTTATCAATATCGTCACCTCCTGATGATTCACCTCCATTGTACACGTGAGAGCATGATTCTGTAGCCCTGCCTCCAATCATGAAGCAAAGTGTGTTGGTGAGTGCGGGGTCTGGGCAGTGTAGATTATTGAGTTTGGTTCCATGACCAAGTGAGGGGGAGGAGCGGAGTGGTGTGTTTGATGGTGGAGCAGCCGGTGTGACTGGCTCTGTGGTGTTTGGTGTCTCCTGAGATAGTTGAGATTGGGAGTGAACATTTTGTGAGGTAGGACTAGTAGGAGAGTGTGTGCCTATATAATTTGTTTGTGAATTGGAAGAGAGTGGTGAGGCCGGCTTTGCAAGGAGGGGAGTTGAAAGAGTTACAGTGGGTAAAGTGGGCGGTTGGATTGATTGATGTGGTGGAAAAGAGTGAGTATTTAGTGAGGAAGTGTGGGTATAATCATGGCCTAGATGCATGGGGTTTGTGAAATTAGGGTTAGGGAAGGATGATGATGTTGGAGTAGGTGTGGGTGTGGTGGATGTATCTAGCCCTTGGGCTTGCATGGAAGGTGGATGTGTTGTTGCAGGGGAAAGGGTTTGCATGTGAAGGGTTTTGACGTGGCCATTTGCATGGTTAATGGAAGGCGTTGAATGAGGGCTATGAAGTGATTGGACCGGTTGTCCAAGTACTTGAGTGGTTTGTAGAAGAGTCAAACTAGGTGTTTTTGCTTGTAAAAAAGGTGTTTCAGGTATTGTTTGAGCATTCAATGCATTAAAAGGATTATTTGTAGGAATAGAAGAAGGGTTATGATTTGATGAAGTGGTTGGGAGAGAATTAATTGTTTGAATGGTTAAATGCTCAAACGGAATAGTTGGAGGATTTAGAGTACCAGTGCCATGCTTACCGCTAAGTAATTGATTCTTCCTAGCTGTAGTGTTCGAGTTAGACATTGGATTTGGTAAAAAAAATTTTCCTGGTGAACTGTACTGTCTTCCACTCATTTAGCGAAGAATTTGGGATGGTGTTAGAAGTAAGTGTAGGATTATCTAGAGTAGAAGGGTCAGGTGGAGAAACATGGGGGTCCTGGTAATGACAGACCCTTTGGTTATGCCCCATTCGACCACATTTGAGGCATAGCATATTTAATCCTTCATACAGGATGTTTTGTTTATGCTTACCAATATAAACATGAGATTTTAAAGGTTGATCTAATTCTACTTCCACACATAAACGTGCATATCGACCCCGTGTAGTAGCTAAAGTACAATTGTCCATTGATAACAACTTACCAATCTTATTACCCACCTGTTGAAGAATGTTGAAATCATAAAATTCAGTAGGTAATTCCGGAAGACGTAGCCATATTGCAGAATAGCGTATATTTATTTCCGATGCCATAAATTTTGGTTCCCATTTCCTGACAGAGAGGAAATGATTCATGATAAACCAAGGCCCATGTTGTAGTGCCCGAATTTTGTTTTCTTCTTTTTGAAACTTGAGGAGAAAGAAATCCGATCCCAAATCAATAAGAGGGAGATTTTCTGTAGGTTGCGATAGTGTATATATTTTATTTCTAAGGAGGTGATGTTCAATCTTACGTCCATATACTTTGACAATTACTGCATGTTGCCATGGTTTGTAAATTCTGCTCTTTTCTTCCATAGAGAGAGGAATAAAATTAGAAGCATCAGTAGGTGCTTCCAGTTCATCTTCCACCGCCATTGTATTATCATTTTGATCTGGAGTGGTTGATAACATAGAAGAGTCAGAAAGTAAAGAGGTGAGATAGGATTTAGGTGCCAGTCCAGTGGAGGGTTTAGGAGATGTAGGCTGGTCAATGATCATTGTGTTTGATTGGGAGTCGTGGGATAGGATGGTTGTTGCTTCAGAAATGGGAGAAGGATCAGGTGGTTTAGGTGGTTTCAGATATGAAGAAACAGGTAGGTGGTGAGAGTAAATGTTAGGAGTAGTCATTTCGTTTATTGACAAAGGCACTTCAGAAATAGTCTTCCGAGTAGTTTCCTTAAGTTTGTTAAAAGTGAGTACTTTTGAACATATCCTTTCATTTTCTCCCCTAGCAAAGTTTTGGAGGTGTGTATCACGCCTAAATTTATTCTGATTTTTAAACATTATTATTCACTATTTTATGTACATGATTTCTTCGTGCATCACCTTAATTAAACTCTCGTCAATTTCGTCACATGATTATACAATTAGGTCTGATATAAATGTCTAAAGATCTTTTAATTGGCTAAAGTTAATTAGGCAACAAACAATAAATGAGAACAAGACAAATGTTTAATACTCCCTCCGGTCCACAAAATTTTATCTTTTTATTTTGATCTAAAATAAGTGTCCATTTATATTTAAGAAAAAATTCAATTTGTTTTTCCAAAATTACCCTTATGTACGTAGCCTTAAAAAGTCTTTTACTCCTCACATTAAATTATGCTGTAACATTTAATTAAAGGTTAATTTAGTCACACTAACTATTTTTTTTCTAGAATTTAGTATTTTCTAAATGGGTGTGCCCAAGGCAAATCATTTATTGTGGACCGGAGGGAGTAGTATCAGAAAATCAACCAGTGTGTTTCACGGATGGTTAATTAACATTTATTTTATTATATCAAAGTAACTAACAAATTAATTTTGGTAACTTAAAAGTCACTTAATTTTGCCTAAGTATCACAAAATATCACTATATAATCACATTATTGCATGTTTGTTGAAACTTGTTAAATCTTTGCTGCAAGCTGCAGCACATAATGTATCTTGTTGGATTTATTTATCTTTGCTCTTTTTATTAAAAAAATTTAAATAACTTGCATATATAGTTTACGATTTTGTGAAATAAAATTAAAAGTCAATTTTCTAGAGGAACGCTCACTCTTTGCTTTCTATGATCTAGATTTCTTTCTCATAATTAATCACATTATATTTCTTAATCACATGAGAAAACGGATTTTGTCGTGTTTTTTTTTCCTGAACCGATGTTCGATACACGTATTAAAATCCTGACTAATTTAAATTCGTACCGCGCAAGACTCGTTAAAGGAAAACGTACACCTTACCAATTCTTTTCATTGCTTCAACCAACACTTACAATATTATTTGTAATCATTAATATAAAAACTTTTCATTAAACTCTATCTAAATTATTATTATTATTATTATTATTATTATTATTATTATTATTATTATTGAAGAATGGGGAAGGACATTCTTGTTCCCCAAGAAAGAATTTTCCATTAAAAAAAGTGGAAAAAAGTAGAAGGATTTAAGAGCACACATGTCCCCTTTAAACTTCCCTCGAACATGTAAGCAAAGCCAGTTCACACTCTTCCCGGTAACCGGTCAACAACAACGCGTAAGAAAGCGCCAACTATTTGGCTCAAGCGGTGGTCTTCTTCCCCACATTATTGCTAACAGTTCTCTCCTTTTCCCTTCAACACTCACCTGCTAATTCTGCCTTCTGGTCTTGGTTAAATTAATTAGACTAATGAGAAACTTTTTATTGGTTATTTTAACACAAATTTATGAGTTAATATTAAATGATTTTGAAAGGTTACTTTTGTGTTAGATAGTCACTATTTAATACATGTTCTTTATATATATACACACACTTATTTATAGTGCATAGTGAGCATGTGTTTTCGAGTCTGGAATATGGAGTCGTTTGAAAGCGCCTTATTCCTTAATATGGGACCTTTCGATGCGAAGACAAATTTAGTCTGGTTCCGCTATGGTATCGACCACCTGATGTAGGTCGTGTACCTTAACTCATTCGTTATAGTCTTCATTATGAGCAGTAATTTTTGTTAAGTAACATTTCACAATTCGATGGTAAAAATTACTCCCTCCCTCTGTTTCAAAAAGGTTGATATTATTTTCTTATTAGTCTCTTCCAAAAAGATTGACATCATTTAATATTTTCTTAATTGGAAGCATTTACAGTCACACAAATATTATGATAGGTTCAGCCCACAAATTTTAAAAGTTTTACAGTCACACAAATATTATGACTTATTTAAGACTATATATCTCAAAATTCTTTCATTCATTATTAAAATTTATGTCAAGTCAAACTACATCATTTTTTTGAAACGAAGGGTTTATGTTTTTGCTCTCTACTGATACATTTTCATAATTTACTAAACTTACTTCATAAGCCAAAGTTTACATTTAATTTAGTTTGGACCACCGGCATTTTCCGGTCAAGTGTAAAAAACTACTTTCCCCTGGTTCTCTTGGACCAACCTCTTTTCCCACACACAAAACTCTAAAAGTAACCCAAAAGAAACAAAAAAGTTCTCTTCACACTTCAACAATAAGACTATACAGCTGAAAATCAGAAGACCAACATTTGAACAAGAATTTAGTCCAATATTATGGAGAAGGAAAACAAGCTAAAAGCAGAGACTTCATTGGAAAATCCGATGTTTTCACAATATATTCAAACTAGCTTTTCTTTACCAAACATCTTTGATATGTTGTGTGAAACTGCAAATGATTCTTCAGATTTTTGATAACATGTTTGGTGCTCATCTTCTCGATTTCAATACTACTACTCCTTCCATTTTTGATTTGCTTCAAACTCCACCACCTCAATCACTGGCTAATATTCCATCTCCAACTTCCACATTTCAAGAATCATCAGAGTTGGTGAATAATCCGACGACCCCCAATCCGTTGTCTATTTCTTCATCATCAACTGAAGCTGCCGAGGATGATCAGCAGAGCAATACAGTAAAGCAACAAGATGAAGATGAAGACAAGTATAAGAAACAGTAAGCTTAATTCTGCTTCTTTATGGACCAAACAAATAATAATTATTCTTTTAGCATTTCTTATAAACTTAATGGACAAGCAAGTTTTTGTCCCTCCAAGACACATAAAGTTGTCTCCGCGTGACCTATAGGTTACGAGGTCGAATCGTGGAAGTAGCCACTAATGCTTGTATTAGGGTAGACTGTCTACATCATACCATTAGAGTGCGGCCCTTCTCGGGCCCTGCGTAAATGTGAGATTGTGCACTGAGCTGTCTTTATTTTAAAGCTTAAATTGTAGTACAGAAATACACTTTTATTTACTTAACTATATTTTCAACATGTATTTACTCACGCGCTTGATTACTTTAATTTTTATGGGTCAAACATGTGACAATTAAGATTTTTGATGAAGTGTTCGATGAGATATGAACTCAAGACATTTGCCTGTTCGGCGAGGAGTTTTACCTCTAACGAGGCGAGGCATAAGTCTTGAGACATGGGGCGTAAGTCCCACGGATCTTTAAAATTTTACTAATTTCAAGAATTTTAAGATAGTATAAAATAAAAAATAATTATAAAAATTATATTAAAAATCACAAAATTATAACAAATTATATATCTAAAATATTAATAAATTATAATTCAACTATGAATAATACGAAAAGTATGACATATATCATAATATGCAAATAGTTGCAATGTCGTTACAACTCAAACATCAAAAGTAATGTATTCGATACGAAATCTTATACGTATCTCTTAAGGAGTAATGAATCTTGAGAGAATTTCGATATTATAATTTGATATTTTTTTTAAAATACTCCTTTATTTTAATATGCTTTCTATTTGAAAGAGAATTTATATAAAAACATAATTCATAATTTAAATATGATTCTCAAGCATCATTTATTCTTAAGTCCCAACAAGTTAATAAAGTGACACATAATTCACCATACAATACCATGATAACTAATTATTTGTACATAGCTAATACTGAGCTATTAAATTAATAAGTATTTTATCTCGTAAACGTGGGAAAATAATTAGAAAAATAATTATAAAAAAATATGGACTATTAGTAGTAAAGACATAACAATAGTTAATAAATAAATACTTTTAGTGGATAACGTACAATAATTTTTATTTTAATTATGACAATACTCTCAACATAATAATTTATACTTAGGAAAAAAGTAATTTTGAGTAGTCAACGATTTATGAAGAAAATTTGATGATTTACAAGGTTAGTTACATATAATTGCATAAAGTTCTATTAGGCGAGCCCAGTACGTACGCTGGACGTTGGGCGTGTCCGGAGCGTAAGCCCCGATGGCTGAGGCGTAAGTCTCACGGAACCAAGCCCTATACATAAGCCCAGGGGCGTTTTACGAGTGCTCCGCCCCGGGGCGAGTCCCTATTCTTCCTTTTAAAACAGAGGTTCTAATATATACAATTCTATGCGACTAACTCATCTAAAAACTTAATAAAACTATCAAGAAAACATATTATTTTTTCCTTAATTATATTTATACAATATTGATATCACGACCCGCATTTCCCACCCTCGGGAGTCGTGATGGCGCCTACTAGTGAAAGCTAGGCAAGACAATTATTCTAATTACTTAACTATTTTCATTTTTAATCCCTTAACAATTCCAGTTCAACAGAACTAAAACAGCGGAAATAATAAGTACAAAACAGTGCGGGAGACGAAATATGATAATTTTAGATTAATTCAAACTGCGGAAGTCTAAGTACAACTCTAACCAGAATTTGGTGTCATAATGTCACGGACTATCTATGAATGCTACAAATAAAGTAATGAATAGAAATACACGAATCTGTCTCTGAATAAGTAAAAATAGAAAGAAATTGATAGAAGGAGACACCAAGGTCCGCGGAAGCCTGCAGGACTACCTCGGGTCGCCTGATGAACTGGATGTAGCAACCTCACTGCGGTCCAAAAGCTACAGCACCGGGATCCACACACAGTGCAGAGTGTAGTATCGCCACAACCGACCCCCTGTGCTGGTAAGTGCCTAGCCTAACCTCGGCGAAGTAGTGACGAGTCTAGGACCAGACTACCAAATAAACCTGTGTAGTTAAATCATATACAGCGAAAAAGCAAAGGCAGAAATTTACAGGTAAAGATAGGAGGGGAAAACATGCGGCGGGGGAATCGAGTAACAACAAAAAGCCAATAAATAAGTGTAAAGAACACCATAACTCAAGTAGTAACAATAATCAGGAAATCAAAGACAAGTGCACGGCATCACCCGTCGTGCTTTTACTCTCGTCCTCACCATAAGAATCATATAATCGGCACGGCATCACCCTTCGTGCTTTTACCTCACATAATCATGGCACGGAATGATCCTTCATGCATTATCACTTATATCATGGCACGGAATTGTACATCGTGCGACACGGCATCACCCTTCGTGCTTTAACCTCACAATATCGGCACGGCATCACCCTTCGTGCATTAACACTCTCTCACAAATATCATGCACGACATCACCTCCCGTGCTTTAACACTCTTCCTTACCCAAACAACAATCACAAAGCAATAAGGGCAAGGAAATCAATAAAATCACAATAAAATTCCGGCAAGGGAACAATAGCATTACGACAATATCCCGGCAAGGGAAATAATTCCAAAGGCAACAACATCCCGGCAAGGGAAATAATATTGAAAGTAATAACATCCCCGCAAGGGAAATAACATTAAAAGTAATAACATCCCGGCAAGGGAGACAATTTCATAAACCTCTTCTCCTTTCTACAATTACTTCACAACTGAATTCACAACTTGAGCCAACGTTCTAAATGTTCAATTACCAATAATACTTCCACAAATCAATTCACAACTTGAGCCAACGCTCTGCAATGTTCAAATTACCAATAATGCTTCCACAAATCAATTCACAACTTGAGCCAACGCTCTTCAATATTTAAGTACCAATAATGCTTCCACAAGCCTTGTTTAACGGGCATGCTTGACACCGACGGAATGGAGTCACATCTATCAAAGTATAAGACTCACGGGCATGCTTGACACCGACGTATAGATACTCATCACCACGCCTATACGTCGTACTCAACAATTAACACACAGAAAATAATACACAACTCCTAATCCCTCAAGCTAAGGTTAGACCAAACACTTACCTCGATGCCACAAACACAATTCAAGCCTCAATTACCACTTTACCTCTTGTTTCCACCACCAATTCGCTTGTATCTAGCCACAATTTAATTAATACGATTAATAAATGCTAAATGAATCAACTCTAATGCATGAAAATGGGTTTTCAAATAATTTCCCCAAAAAATCAAAAATCGACCCCCTCGGGCCCGCTTGGTCCAAACCCGAAATTCGGACCAAAAGCCGATTATCCATTCACCCCCGAGCCCGGATATATAATTGATTTCGGAATCCGACCTCAATTTGAGGTCTAAAACCCTAAATTTCAATATTCTTAGGTTTTTCTCAAAATTCTCAATTCCACCATGAAAACTCTAGATTCTAGGATGAAGTCTTGTAGAAAGAAGTTAAGGAGTGAAAGAAATGAGTTTAAAATCACTTACTTGTGTTTTGGGAAAGAAAACAGTGTTTGAAAAATCGCCTCTTATGCTTTAGGTCTTTGAAAATTGAAAAATAGCTGAAAAGTCCCGTTTATATACTCCTCTCAGATCCTCACCGTGGACCGCATAAAAAGGACCGCGGCCGCGGAGCTCCACCGCGAACCGCGAAATATCGAGCGCGGCCGCGAAGACGTCGCCTTGCTCACTGCGGACTGCATTAATCCCACCGCGGCCGCGAAGTCCCCACTACGGTCGCGAGAAATCACTGCGGACCGCGAAACCTGGTTCAGAGACCTGCAACTTCTCTGAACCTGCAAAAGTTATTTTTCTAGGTCTAAATGCACTCCAAGGCTTATCCAGAATTCACCTGAGCCCTCGGGGCTCCAAACCAAACATGCACCCCAACCTAGAAATATCATACGGACATGCTCGTGCAATCAAATCGTCAAAATAACATCAACCACTATGAATTTCCAATTTTCTCAAATTCATGAAATCACTCAAGAACATCAAAATTTCCAATTTTCTCAAATAAGGTCCGGTTTATACTAAACGGACTCCGATTCTTACCAAACTTCACAGATTCAACTAAATTATTATTTCAAACTTGTACCGGGCTCCGAAATCAAAATACGGGCCCGATACCATCAATTTCAACATCTTCCTTTACCCAATAACTCTTATATTTTCCAGAAAATAATTTTCTTCAAAATTTATTTCTCGGGCTTGGGACCTCGGAAATCAATTCCGGGCATACGCCCAAGTCCCATATTTTCCTACACACCCTCCGGGACCGTCAATTCATGGGTCCGGGTCCGTTTACCCAAAATGTTGACCGAAGTCAACTTAAATTCATTTTAAAAGCAAGATTTATCATTTTTCAAAGATTTTTCACATAATGGCTTTCCGGATACATGTCCGGATTGCGCACGCAAATCGAGGTAAGATAAAAAGGAGGTTTTAAGGCCCCGGGACACAGAATTTATTTTCAAAACAAGTGATGACCTTTTGGGTCGTCACAATTGAACTATATGACCAACTCATCTAAAACCTTAAATTATTGTGAAGGGGGCCTGGTTTAATATATGTTTCTAAATAATGCATCATCTGATTAAGTGAAATGCTTTCTGAGTTTTTCCGTTTACCAATTTCTTCTTTATTTGAATTTTTTCCCTTTGTGCAACGTTTGATGTTTTTTCTTTGTTGGCTTAGGTTAAAACCTAAAAAGAAGATTATCCAAAAGTGGCAAAGAGAGCCAAGATTTGCATTCATGACCAAGAGTGAAATTGATCATTTGGATGATGGTTTTAGATGGAGGAAATACGGCAAAAAGCAGTGAAAAGCAGCCCCTTTCCAAGGTATATATATATATATATAAAATGACACATTTCATAATTGAAAATTCGTTAAGTTTATGGGAGGGAGTATAATTAAAATGTAGGTTAATTGTTCTTCTACCGCTCATTCAACCGTTTAAACTAAAACTAGCTGGCACATATATATTTTATGTATAATATGTATATACCCATATATAATTAATATATAATCAGTATATACCAGTTAAGAAAAATAAAAAGCGAAACCAACCGGCTACAATTATGTAAAGACTGCTACTTATAACTTATCCTAATGGGAAGTTTTCCTTTCTTGATTTTGAAAATTTTCCTTTTTCTTTCTTCAAGTAGTCCATTCATTTTTAAAATTTAAGTGTAAGATGCATAAATTTCTTGTGCAGGAGCTATTATCGTTGCACAACTATTTCATGTGGAGTGAAGAAGAGAGTGGAAAGGTTAATCAAAGATACTTCAATAGTTATTACAACTTATGAAGGTACTCACACACATCCGTGCCGCATTACGCCGCCGCGCGAGAGCATTGGCTGTGTTCTGCCACTAACCACCACCTACTACGATGGCTCCATTGGTGGTAGTAGTGAAGGCGGAGGAATTTACAGTAATTCCTCTTTGTCTATTCCACAACTTCAATATTATCAAGATCAGCAGCAACAACCCCTCCATTATTCCCCTACTACAACTCTACCTTTAAATAACTTCAATGTTGGTTATTCATCCTTATTTTCAACTAATTATTCACTCCAAGAAAGAAGGTACTTGCCCTCCCCGTATTCTTCCTCTTTGGCCGGAGACGATGGACTTCTTCATGATATGGTGTCATCACAGATGAGAAGAGGTACTATTGTGTCCTTCTTCCGCCGTTTATGTCAAAAAGTTATCACACTGGAAAATCTAGATTGTTTCGAGATAGAGATTAGCGAAACATTGAATCAATTGGAGCGAATTTTTCCTCCAACTTTTTTTGATATAATGATTCATTTGCCTATTCATTTGGCAAACGAAGTAAGATTAGGAGGTCCCATTCAGAATCGATGGATGTATCCTCCTGAAAGATATATGTGCACGTTAAAATCATATGTTCGCAACAAAAATCATCCAGAAGGATCTATTGCTGAAGCATACTTGGTTGAAGAGTGTTTGACTTTGTGCTTTAGATACTTACATGGGGTGTGCAAACCAGATTTAATAGAAGACCCCGAAATAATGATGAATGTGGTTATGATACACAAACTTTCAGTTTGTTCCCTAAAAGAGGCTGCCCTTTAGGAGCCAAAAAAAGTGATCCAATTGTTTTAGATGGCAAGTCACTATGTCAGGCACATGCATATGTATTGAACAATTATGATGAAGTTCAAGAATATATCAGGTAATTTTGTTCACTTTTAGTATTTTCTTTTACGTAGATAATTCTAAAATTATTTTATTTATCTTTTTCTAACAAATAAAAATTATTGTTCCGTAGAGAACATAAGGTGGAGGTTAATAATCAGAGGCAAGGATCTAGATGGAGCAAGGCCAAAAATCATAGTCAAAACTTCTCTCAATGGTTTGAAACTCGTGTATTGCATGAGGATGTGTCCGATATGATAAAACAGTTATCCATAGGACCAAATTCAATTGCCAAAAGATATTCTGGGTATCTCATTAATGGATATAGATTCCATACGAGGCAGCGTGATGCAAGGCGTAAAACGCAAAATAGTGGTGTTACATTAGATGCCCTAACGACAAGCTTTGCAAGCTCAAAGGATAAAAATCCAGTTGATGCGAATTTGACTTATTATGGCAGAATATTTGATATAGTTGAGTTAGACTACTATGGCCATTTTAAGGTTTTGTTGTTTAAGTGTGACTGGTATGAGGTTGAAGAGGATATTTATGGCCTTACTTATGTCTACTTCAATAAGAAATGCTATCAGGAAGAGCCTTTTATTCTAGCAGATCAAGCACACCAATGCTTCTATGTGCAAGATCCATATGATCAAGATAAACATTATGTTATGAAGACTGTCCCGAGAGACTTGTTTAGCATAAGTGACCAAATTGAATCTAATGCCCTACACTGTTATGAAAATGAGCCGTCTGAACATTTGGCGGGCCCATCTATGCCGGATGATAATGGTAAAGTTGTCTTAGTAAGGAATGATTTACAAGCAACGATTATTGATGTGCCTCCAGAAGGATTTCTTGCAGAATAACTTGAAATTGAATCGGAAGACGAGTTTGAAACAAAGGACGAGTTTGAATCGGAGGACGACGAGTTTGATTCTGAGGATACATTATGAGTTTGATTATAATTCAAATAGAATATAGCTCAGCCCTTTCTTTAACGACTAAAGGCACATTAAAGATTAGTAGTACTTGCTTTAGACTCAAATGGATGATATTTGCTTGCCGATGTTTCCTTGTCTATTTTGTCATGTTCTAATATTAAATTTTATTTTTGCTGATGGTTTCTTCCTTATGCCTATATGTTTTGTGCTCATATAATTTTAGAGTGTCACTTTTGGTTTCTAAAGCATTTGGTTACTATTAATTGTGCCTCAATTTAGTTTCATAGCATGAGAAACCGTATTACATCATATATGAAAAGAGGTTTAAGTCCTCTAGTTTTGCACTAAATATCCGGGAAGTGAACGTGAGTAGGTAGAAATTGTAGTTCTGAATTTGTCACTAATCTTATTATTGGAGTATTGAAAAATGTGTTAAAGTATACATATTTCTTCTATTGTTATCAGGTGGTGTTGATTCAACTAAAAAAAATTGTTGACTAGAAATTTTGAGGAAGCAGATAAATACTGAACAGGTATCTCTGCAACTCTATTTATCTATTTAGGAAGCATATGCTATTTGTTTTTGTAACTGAACAACTTGTGTTCCTCTGACTTAGCAATTTCCATCATTTAATTGGCTAAGTGAAAAGAAAATATAATCTTTCCCCGTTGATTCTAGTTACTCGTTTGTTGGTGTGGATTTTCAGTCTTTGGCTGACCTGATGCAACATGGCAAGAAGCGTTCTAGAGGCTAGTGACTATATTTACTTATACTTTACTATAGGAATATGCTTGATCAAGTGTTCTATGAGTATATATTTGTTGTCACGACCCCAACCCCCGGTCGTGATGGCGCCCAACACACTGCTAGGCAAGCCCGACCAATTAACAACCTTAACCCAATTTATTATACAGTTCATTATTAGCTAACACAATTAAATTACCAAATCAACATATTAGAAGTCTGAAATAAGAGTTAAATGTGCGGAATTTCAAAATGACAATACTACTACATAGCCCAAAAGATCCGGTGTCACAAGTCTGAGCCTCTAATATAGGTTTATCAATCTAATACATGTCACTCTAGGGGAATACAAAATATAAACAAAGGATAGAAGGGAGAGATCAGGGCTGCGGACGCCATGCAGCTACCTCGATGCTCCCAGATATGCGTTGCTCAACAGAGAATCCTCACTCAGCCTCAGGTGCACCTGGATCTGCACGCAAGGTGCAGGGAGTAATGTGAGTACTCCGACCCAGTGAGTAATACACATAAATAAAGGCTGAGAATAAGAAATCATGGATAAATACATTGTAATCTATAATACGGCAGTTTAAACCAAGTAGTATGAAATCAATAAACCAGTGAAGTAGAAACATGGAAATGCTACAATAGATAAGCAAATAAAGGAATGCAACGCATAGTACGGTACTCTCTAGTACCCGCTGCAGCGTGCAGCCCGATCCATTTATTTATCGTCGACGGCGCTCACTGGGGGTGTGCAGACTCCGGGAGGGGCCCCTTACGGCCCAAGCGCAATATCAAGCCATCTCGTGGCATCAGCTAGGCCCTCGGCCTGGTATCAATATCAATATAATACTGCTGCGGCGCGCAGCCCGATCCATACTCAGTCCAGAAATCATATAAGCCCCTCGGGCCATAATAAAATAGTAGTTCTCAGCCCAAAACATCATTAGAAATATCATTTAAGTTTCAAATCTGAGTACAAGTGGCTGAGTTTGTAAAACAGTATTAAACAATAGGACTGAGTTCAAGTAATATGTCAAAATAGTGAGAAAACAGTGATAGCAATCCCCGAAGGGTTCAAATAGTTGGCACGAAGCCCAAATATGACCATTAGTCAAAAAAATGATGATATCAAATAAGCTTCAATCAATTACGCGGTAAAAACATCACTCGGGACGGACCAAGTCCCAATCCCCAATAGTAAACGACCCCGCGCTCATCATCAAGCGCGTGTCTCACCTCAATATAGCACTACGATGTGCAAATCCAGGGTTTCAAACCCTCAGGACATCATTTACATTCATTACTTACCTCGAACCAGCTAAAGCTCTAGCTCGCTATGCCCTTGCCTCTCAAATCGGCCTCCTCGCGCGTCGAATCTCACCAAAACCAGAACGAATACGTCACAATAGGCTAAGGAAAAAAACCCAAGCGAAAACAATTGAAAAATATCAAAAATCCTTAAATTAGCAAAACCCGAGCCCCGGGCCCACTTCTCGAAACTCAAAAATTTTCACACCATTAGATTCCTTATCTCTCCACGAGTTCATACATATCAAAAACACAAGAGTCGGAGTTCAATTGACCCCTCAAATCCCCAATTTAAACTCTCTTAAACTCAAGCCCTAAACCTCCATTTTTAGTCCATAAATCCCTTAATTTTCAGTCCTAATTCATGAAATATCACCATAGAATTGCGTTTTAGGTCCAAAATCCTTACCTTATCGAAGTTCCTTCGAAATCCCTCTTCAAAATCGCCCAAAAAGCTCTAAGTCCGAAGTTAAAATGAATAAACCCTTCAAAAATCACGAAGAAGAACCATTTATACATTCTGCCCAGTCGTAACCGCATCTGCGGTCAAAATTCCGCTTCTGCGGTACCGCATTTGCGGTCAACGCTCCGCTTCTGCGGAAATTCATTAAACAGCCTAAACCGCATCTGCGGCTCCGCAGGTGTGGTCCCTATTCCGCATCTGCGGTTCCTGACCTCACTCCTCAAATCCGCATCTGCGGATAATCCTTCGCACATGCGATGCCGCACCTGCGGTCCCCAAACCGCAGGTGCGAAAACACCAGAAGCAGCAGAGATTCTGCAATTACACAAGTCCAAAACTCTTCCCGTTAGCCATTCAAAACCACTCCGAGGCCCCCGGGACCTCAACCAAAAGCACCAACACATCCTAAAACCTCATTCAAACTCGTTCCAATCATCAAAACACCTCAAACAACACCAGATCTATCAATTCACATCGGATTCAAGCCTAAATTTTCCAAAAACTTCCGAAACACGCATTTGATCAAAAACCCAACCAAACCACCTCCGAATGACCTGAAATTTTGCACACACCTCCCAAATCACATAACGAAGCTACAACCACTCTCGGAATTCCATTCCGACCCTCGGATCAAAATCTCACCTATCAACCGGAATTCGCCAAAATACTAACTTCGCCAATTCAAGCCTAATTCTACACCGGGCCTCCAAAACCACTTTCGATCACACTCCTAAGTCACAAATCACCACCCGAAGCTAACCGAACCATCGGAACTCACATCCGAGCCCTCTAACACATAAGTCAACATCCGGTTGATTTTTCCAACTTAAGCCTTCTTAAAAGAGACTAAGTGTCTCATTTCCTTACCAAATCCACTCCAACCACAAACCAATCAACTCGACCACATAAAACACGGATAACGAAGCATAAAGAAGCAGAAATGGGGGAAACGGAGCGGTAACTCATGAGACGACTGGTCGGGTCGTCACATTTGTAGACTTTGAAATTGTGTGATCTTGGTATTTTTGTAGTTGTTAATATTCCTATCTAAGATTTCTGTCTGATATACTGTCATTCACTACCTTCCATGATACATTATATGATTTGCAAGTGATCTTAGGTACAAAACACAACTGAAATGGGATAGGAAGTTTGACAGTAGAGGACAGACTGAATAAGCTATTAAAATGTACTTAACATATACAGCAATTCTCTGGGACTTTACATCTTCAAGATTGCCATTGAGCGACCACATTGCTGGGGTATAACTATATCCGTTTAGCCTTGAACAAAAGAAACTCAGATTTGCTTGTCACTTTAACTTGCAGTTATTCTCATTTTGATATTTGTTCATATTTTACTGTGTGTTGTTATTACAGTTCATATATTCTTTAAAGTGGCAATTGATATATATTCCCTATGTGCTTTTTGTGGTCTTCACTCTTCAGTTTATCTATGAGCTTTCTGATGTACCAGCTCATATCTTTGCTAAAAGCTAGATGGTGTGATGGACTGAAATATTATAAGTTCTACCTTCTTTCATAGCAGTAGCAGCTCATAGCATCAAAATTTTAACCCTCAAGAATCAACAAAATTTTAATGCCTCCTGCAGTTTTGATAGTACATCATATAATCTGTCCTTAGTCACCAGTGATAGTTCCTTCTAGTTCTCACTGATATTGGCGTCTTATTTATGTCTAGGTTTTCTGCACCTTGCTTTGTGAATCCTTCAACTTCCTTTTCATTTCCTGCTTGGTACCTTGGAGAAATTTGATTATCAGTGAAGTACCAAGAGTTTCTGCCAGCCCCTTCGATACATCCTTGCTGTTTGATTTCTCAGAACCAAAAACTTCACTCCTAGGACTTTCCAATGACGGAATTCTGCTTTTCTTTCCAACATCATCGATTTCATCGAAGATTACACCATTCCCTGGACGTATAACCTCATCATCAAGAGTGCCATGATAGCTTGGTCTTAAATGTCTATTTTCTGCCTAGTGTTATGTATTCCTACTAGTTGCTAGACTAAAATAATTTTTTTCTTTGTATGAAGGATGAATCAAGCAGCAGCTCTAAAGAAAAAGGTTTCGAATCCAAACAAAGCTGAAAGTCCAATGAAGAATATAGGTTTTAATTTTCAATACCGATCAAGCGCCGAATTGGCGAAAAAATTTCAAATTAAGAGAGAAAATCTCGCAAGTAATCACAAGGACAAAGCTGTGAAAGAGCAGGCATCACTTAGATTTAAAAGAAAGAATAATATGCCTACAACAATAGAAGGACAAAGAAGACAGAGGTTAACTCAATCCGATGAGTCGGTTCAAAAGTTAGGAATGAGTATATTGCCTATATACAACAATGATCCAATCGCCTTTCAGGGAAGATCTGAACACTTCACATAACATTGCAATAAGAGGACAAAATAAATATTTCAATTGGAGGAGCAAATTCAAAAGCAAGGAATGAATAAATTACCTGTGCACACATCAATGCTCCAGTCATCTTCAAAGAAAGATCTTAACACTTTACGTATGAGTGGAAGAAAACAAGGTGAAGGAGAGAAACAACTTGATATTCAGGAGCAACAAAACTCTAAAAAGGTAAAGACAAACTCGGTCCTACCATCGACGAGTCTAAATCAATTTCTAAAAAAATATGGGATACACGTTGGTGGTGAAAATTCTCCTAATATCCACCCAATAGATGAAGCCAGATTTATGTCAATCCCTGTTGTTGATGAGCATGAAATAGAAATGGATAATTTTGATGCACAAGCAGGAGTTGGTGACGATGAGTTTGTTAGAGATGAGGATGTAAGCTTTGATAGTGCTGCAGATGGTATGTCTTAAAATTTGTAATTCTTTTACATATTGTAACTTTTTCCTTATGTCATATTGTTACATTAATCCAGGGATATCAGAGAAGAAAAGAGTTCGAGGGCAAACGGCTTGTAAGAATATTCATGCAAGAAGTTTTGAAGAAAGAGAGGAGGTGACATTTGACAAAGGACAAGCAGTGGGACTAACTGATAAGAGAGTGTCTCATTTGACCAACTCTATAGGAACAATTGCAAGAAATCCAAGATTTATCACCTTGGTGCATACTAGTTGGCATGCTGTTTCACAAGATATTAAGCAACGAATGTGGGAATATGTCAACGTAAGAACAATCAATTTTTTAAATGTATACTTTTTGTATATTTCCTACTAATCGAAGATAAATATACGTTGTTTTGCATAGTCCAAATTCATAGTTCCAGCAGAAGGAGAGAAGTGGGTGATGACTGGCCTTCGTGATGCTTGAAGGCGACACAAGAGAAATATTAAGATGAAATATTTCAATAAGAATGCTACTGATGAAGATATGCTACAAAATCGTCCGAATGAGATACCAGAAGTTCAATTCCGCCAATTGATTGAGTATTGGAAGGATTTAGATGTCCAAGTGAGATTAAATTGTGCATTTCTACACTTGAACATATTGTTGCATTATATCTTTTTTTTTCTTTTTGATTTATTGACTAATGTACTTCTTTTGGTGCTAGGCCATGTGCCAATTAAATTCTGAAAACAGGAAAAAACCAAAGTGGAGGCATCGAATGGGACCTATTAATTTTGGAAGAATACGCGTAGCATTGGTAGCATTTACTCGACAATTTATGAAAATTTTGACTTCCATTTTCTTTGTCGGAACACACTAATGTTTATTTTTTACTTTCTTTTGATTTAATTTGTAGCGTGCAACCAAAGAGAACAACGAGGAACCATCAAAGTCCGAAATGTTTATTGCAACTCGTACAAAGAAAGGAAAAGAAGTTCATACAGATTCTCAAGTTGCAATAGTAAGTCATGAAAAGTTAAGATCTTGTTATTATATAGCCCCTCTCGTTAACTGAATGTGTGTCTGTTAAAGTTTCAGCTTTTTAATTAAAACCATGTATTTCTAATAAATGCAGTTTTGTATATGTGTCTGGTGCTTATATCTTGTACTAATCTAATGACAAATTAGTGAAATTGTAGTTTCATTAGGAGATAACTCCATCTAGCTATGTTTGATGAACCTTTTTGGGATGTTATATGTGTACTTATAAACTAACCGCAACTTTATAGCATCGAGTATAACTGAATGAAGTATGTACAGGGCTTATCAGATTCTGTCAACACCATGTGGTTCCTGCTTGCAAATTCTGGCCAATGACTTCAGTCTTCACGTTCTTAAGTATTAAATTTTGTGTAGTTTTGGACTAAAATTTTGAAGTTAGTGAATCTTTGCTATATCTAACGGGCATATGGACAGATAGCGTGACCTTCATCTGGCATCAAGAGTTTATAGTTCATATAGTTGTCTTTGTCTGTGGTTATGTATGTTCAAAACGCCACATGCATTCTTAAACTTAGGAATCGTTTATCAAAAATTCTTAAACTTAGCAATTCTTCAAGCAGCATAAGATGTTACATAAGGAGATCCTCTTCGTCTGGAAAGTGACTTATCACACCAACTCATACTTATTCTCTTCATATACACGGGATTAAAAAATGCGAAGAACTTCAGTAGAAGTGCATTTGAAAGACATAGGTTCACAGGAAGACTGCATAAGGTTGCAGCAGCCATTCCATAGAAAAAGCTGAGGTTTAGAGATAAAAGAGGGCTGAAAATTCTCGGTCATCCTAGACTTGCCCCACTGGTTAATTGGTGCGGGAATCTGAGACGTTCACTTCCAAAAGTGGCCATTATATCAAAACAAGAGTGCAAGGACTTGACCGTGGCAGTTAAGGCCTATATGAGACTATTTCAGAAAGTTAAGGGACTCCTGTACATCAGATGCTGTGAAGGCTAATAGTCTACAACAACCCCTGAAAATATTTCATGTCTTTTGTAGGAAAAATAAAAGTTAGTTTAAGTTATTTTAGTATTCAATCTATCTTGACTTGTAAGTGATGTGGAGTAATATTTTTTTTTTTCACAATCTGAACTTCAGAATCGTCAAAGTTCCTGAGAGACAGCAGATGATGCATTTAGGGCTGTGTTTGGAAAGGAGCAGCCTGGTCGGGTTAGATGCTATGGTAGAATCGGTAACGACAAGCTCTCTGAAAAAAGATGAAGAAATCACCAAGCTTAAACAAAAGCATGCCAATGAAATGACTTCTCTGAAACAGAAATAGAGGAAACTAGTTCGAGAGAAGAAATAGCGATNGACTTCTCTGAAACAAGAAATGAAGGAAATGTTGAGAGAAGAAATGCGATCTTTTCTTAGTCATGTGGTGCAAAACAACCATGAACTGAATTTTCATGATATACAAGGATGTGCTGGATCTAATATTCCATCACCGGTTGATGCAATTAGTGCACGAGCTATAAGAGGCCAAAATCTACCACATTCTTCTGGCTCAACTCATGCTCCGAATCTTGAAAAGGTATTTATATTTCACACTTCCAAAAAACTACCTCAATCTTAACTTACAAAATCATATTTTTCCCAAATTATTTGCTTTTGATGGTTCTGTTATATGATAACGCTAGTATAAAAAGAATTCTAGCGGCAATAAATGTTCGATTTAGCGGCAATAATAATGGCTGCAAAATAAGTTTATTTTCCCCTTGTTAAAAGAAAAAGACACGTGATTCTTTGTTAGCAAAGGATCAGTTGGTGCCAAAATTTTACCACACGAAACTATTAGCTCTTTTCAGTGAAACACGATCTAGTTAAGGTATTTGGTTATGGAAAGAATTCAATTTTGGTTAGCGAGCTTCTGTTTGATATCTACCATCAATATAATTTCTCTTCATTAGATGTTTTCCACTGAAACATGTTAGTGTTTAGTGGAAGGCCCTTGTTATCTGTCTATTTTCTAGCTAGTTTAATTGCTATTGTTATTAAATTAAGTGATTGTTGCGATTATACAAGGAGATAAATTTTTTGTCTTTGAACCTATACTTTAAATGTATTTTACTTTTTTCCTGTATTGACTTGTTAGAACGTCATTACAGAAGTATCAACTCACTACTACTAAAAGCAGTTCATGAATATGACTTACAGATGTTATAAATACACAATTTTAACTTTAACATACATATCATGCAATTGTGTTGTTTTAATTGGGATTTACAAAGGCTCTTAACAATGTCTTTTATCTTCATGAAAAGAATTTTTGATACTTAGCTATTGGTTTTCTACATTTGTCACCTCTAATATGGGTAGTGAACAGTGAGCACCCTCACTTTTCTAACTTAGGGGATTAATTCTTTTACTTATGTTTTGAGCATAAATTATATCATACTTTCTATTCTTTTGCATTTACTTCTTTGTCTGCCTTTTAATTCTCATAAATATATCATATCACCTCTCTCATTTTCCATAAATTTTGAGTCTTTTTGCTGAGTTTCATCAGTTAACAAAAAAATGATATCACTTTCAGACCTTTGCTATGTTCTCACTGTTGTAGATCCACTGTATATAGCAATGATCTTAGCTTATAGTTCAATAAAATGGTGAAAAATCTTCACCCTAGATCAATGTTCAGGGATCAACAAATTTGTTGCTCTTTTTGCTATTCCATTGCTATCTTTTCACTTCATTGCTTCCAATACTCCTTATGCAATGAACTACAGGTTCATAGCTGCTGACACTCTTGAAAAAATNGGATCAAATGTATGCCACCAACACTCCAATGGTATAAAAAAACAAAACAAAACAAAACACATCATCACGGCTAATTCTGTTTTCCATTAATTTGAACTTCATTCCCTTGATCTTTAAATATGATCATTCCTTAAATGTGGTAGAGAAAATAATAGGGTAAGGGACTTAGGGTAAAGGAAAGTGTATAGATTAGGGAAAATGATATTGTATAGCCGCTTTCAAAATAGTAGCGGAATATATATGCATTATGTATGTTATATTAATCTACACAAATAGGTAATTACTCATTTAATAAGTGTCTACAGTCTAGGGGTGTGCATTCGATTTATCGAATCGATTTTGACCCTTATCGATAATTACTTATCGATTATCGATTTGTACATATGCTTATCGTTATCGTTTCAATAAGGTTTCGATTTTTTCGATTTCGATTTCGATAACAAATAATCGATTCGATTTATCGATAAACCGATTCGAATGCACACCCCTATGTACCGGGCTCCGAAACCAAAATACGGGCCCGATACCATCAATTTCAACATCTTTCATTTCCCAAAATTCTTATATTTTTCAGAAAAATAATTTTCTTCAAAAATTCATTTCTCGGGCTTGGGACCTCGGAATTCAATTCCGGGCATACGCCCAAGTCCCATATTTTCCTACAAACCCTCCGGGATCGCTAAATCACGGGCCCGGGTTTGTTTACCTAAAATATTGACCGAAGTCAATTTAAATTCATTTTAAAAGTAAGCTTTATCATTTTTTTACAGATTTTTCACATAATGGCTTCTCGAAAATGCGTCCGGACTGCGCACGTAAATCGAGGTGAGAAAAAGGTCTTAGAGCCTCGGAACATAGAATTTATTTTCAAAATAAGTGATAACCCTTTTGGGTCATCACACAATTGGGAACAACCTGAACAATGGATAATACAATGTGCCAAAGGAAGATCCAATGGAGTGTATGCTGAGATCACACATAGTCTATGGATTGAAAGGAATATGAGGATATTTTAATAGAAAAGCGGAGGAGTAGATAGTATAGCTCAAGAAATAGCCTACATATATAATGTGAGAGCTACAAATGAAATTAGTAATTTAGTACAACACTTTATGTTCCATTAGACATAGTTTGTAGGTTGAGTTTTGTTTGGTTTTGAAAGATATAGTTGCTGAGTTATAAAGAAGACTATGAATTGTAAAGCTTATTGATTATTAGTAAACTGTTAGTTACCTAAAAAAAAGAAAAAGAAAAGTGCCTATTTTTCAAAGTAAGAGGAAAAGTTTAGTTTTTAAAGCAAAACTTGAGAGGACAAATAATTGTTCGCCCCATTATACTAACAAGTAATAGAGTACGCGTTTTGCGCATCTGATCTTATATTAATAAAATATATTAGTTCAAAAAATTACAAAAGAAATACTAAACAGTGTGTTTAACTTTTAAAATAAAAATTAACAAAAATATATAACTTCTTGAAAGTGATGACTAATAAATATTTTATTTAGCTGGCTCAATAAAGGAAGAATTTCTTTCATAAAAGTTCTTCGATGCCTTATTGTAGTTTCTAGAGACTATATCTTATAAAAATATTGTTATTTCTATGCCCTAATACAAAATTAAAATATATATATATATATATATATATATATATATATTTTATCAACAAAGATTTGTTAAAATATGATAAACTAAACAATTGAATTTTTTTGTCATTTTAGGATAAAGAGGTTGGCGTTATGCTCATAGAAAAATTGATAAGTGGAAATGTATAGTCTAAATGACTTATATGTTATACAACAAATAATTTAATATAGAACATAAGGGGAGTTTTCATTTGTAAAACAACAACAACAACAACAACAACAATAATAATAATAATAATAATAATAAATAAAAAAATAAAATAAAAATCACAAACTCGTTCAGAGTTTGTATTCTATTGTTTTATCCTATTGCTTCAAGTTTGTAGTTTACAAATTTGACTCTTAATACAATTATAACCATTTTTTTTCATATGCTAATGGTATTCTTATCAAAACAATTTTATATATCATATAATATTTGTCAATTTGAAAATAATCTTGCTTATATGATGAATGTGAAAAGGAATTAAATCGATTCATGTTAATGAGTTAATTCAAAGGTTTAATAATTTGTTCTCAACATTAAAAGGAAATAATTATTCAAATTCTTCGTATTAGCTCATTAAATTTTTAATAAAAAATATAATTATAATTTTATCTAAGTTATATAATCAAAGATTAAAAATAATAATTTGATATTTAACTTTTTTTTCTTGTGTTTGTAGAATCATTAATATACTTGAATCTTGTCAACCACTTAATATTTTGTTAATGATTTTTTTTCCAATCGGTGTTATTTTCAATTATTATGTTATAATAATAATAATAATAATAATAATAATAATAATAATAATAATAATTATTATTATTATTATTATTATTATTATTATTATTATTTCTATTACTATTATTAAAAAGGAAGAAAGAATGAAAATTCATGCACACGTATGGTCTTGGATAGTCTAATTAGGATAAAGAAAAATTTAACGATATAAATACCTTAAGTGAATGAAGTTCCTAAATATTAGGGATTTTATAAGGAATGTTACCAATATTTTGTTGGAAAAAATTGGATGATTATGGAGAATAAAAGGTTTAGCTTGAGTCGTGTCAAGGACATTGTCCTTAAGGATATTTCGCCCACACGGAGATGAATAATATTAGGCGTATCCCCCAGGATTCAACAAGCTCTTCTAGTATAACTAGGAACAGAAACAACAAAGATTGATCAAAATAAACACGGCACAATATAATTTAGAAGGAAATAAATTCTTTTCTTATTTCTGTTTTTTCTTTCTTCAAGATGTAAAAACAAAGAGTATAAATAGTTCAATAGAAAATGCACAATCTGATCGAATTCTCTAAAGCCATAAAGCTTTTCAAAGCTTACAAAACGTAGAAATTCAAACGTTAAAATTTAAAGCCATTAAGGCTGTCAAATGCTTAATTATTCCTTCAACAATAGTAACGTTTACCCACTAATTAGCATTCAATAATCAGATTTATTTTGTCCCAATTTAATTCAAAATAAAGCTAATTTTCTGTTACAAATATTTTTAAAAATAATAACTATAATAATGACTCATTAATTTAATAGTAAGAAAATGAATCTAGACATAATTTTAGACATAATTTTGGAATATTTCTTTTTGAGATATCAAAAGTATTTTCTATCAATCCCCCACATATCTCAAAAAAAAAATATTAAAAAAATAATGAAAATAATAAAATAATTTGCTGGGTTTCACAAAAGAGCATAATGCGTCGAATCTGGTGTCTCTTGGACTATGAACCAGACCTAGATAAAATAAGATTAAACTTACAGAATAATTGGTAAAGTTTAAAACTTCTATGAACCAAGAATTCTTTTGTAAGTTTAGTGTCTTATCTATCACATTATACCCGCACACACTTTGT